ATAACGAATATCGTAAATTGTTTCATTTCAGTATCTTTTAATAACATGGGAGCCATACTTATACTCAATACTGTTTTTAATGTGTTTTAAACCAAACGTATATTTTTATTGCTCTACTACTATTTCGTTGAAATAAGTGTTTACAAGCAGAAGTTATGACATCATGAGAACATCATTATTCGATTTGTGAGCGCTTACAACGCAAAAAATGAACACCGTCACAGTATGTAGAATTTATTAATTTCGGAAAGATATTCTTCCTGGTAGTAAAAGATTATATTCAAGATCCCCAAGAAAAAACTTCATAACAATCATGGTAGATCATGATAGAAATTATCAAACAAATTAACAATCAGATTTGTTAAAGTACAATAAATTACATTATTAAAAACATACCGACGATGAAGATATTTTTTATATTATAGAAAATAATTTGAATAAATTAAAACTAACCACATCTAAAATAAAGTGTTAAAAGGGATAAAAGATATAAAATAAATTATAATTTACCTATTTACATGACATATTAGGTGTACAACTTTGCTTCCGCCGTTTTTTTTCCGAAATTCGAGGCTTTATTGTAAAAAACTGGTTATACATTTATGATTCAAAGTATTGTCCATCGCTGGCCACTACTTTCTCCCATTTTTCGGGCAACGTACGAATCCCGCGTTGAAAAAACTGGTCATCTTTTGAAGCGATCCACGAATCGATCCAATTTCTTACTTCTTCATAAGACCGGAAGTGCTGGTCAACCAGGCCGTGTGCCATTGATCGAAACAAATAATAGTCAGAGGAAGCAACGTTTGAAGAATACGGCGGGTGGGGTAGGACTTCCCATTTCAACGTTTCTAAATATGTCTTGACCACTTTCGCAACATGGGGTCGAGCATTGTCATGCTGCAAAATCTTATCGTGTCTCTCGTTGTATTGCGGCCGTTTGTCTTTCAATGCTCAGCTCAAACGCACTAATTGCGTTCGATAACGATCGCCTGTGATTGTTTCAGTCGGTTTTAACAGCTCATAATACACTACGCCGAGCTGGTCCCACCAAATACAGAGCATGACCTTGGAACCGTGAATATTCGGTTTGGCCGTCGACATGGAAGCATGGCCGGGATATGCCCATGATTTTCTGCGCTTGGGGTTATCGTAACAAACCCATTTTTCGTCCCCAGTAACAATGCGATGCAGAAATCTCTTCCGTCTTTGCCTTTCAAGCAACTGTTCACAAGCAAACAAACGCCGTTCAACATTTCTCGGGTTCAACTCGTACGGCAACTCGTACCCAATTTCCTTGCTTCTGAATCATTCCCATGTCTTTGAGGCGTTTTGAAATTGCTTGTTGAGTCACTCCCAATGATCGTGCCAATTCTTCTTGACTTTGACACGAGTCTTCGTTAAGTAATGCCTCCAATTCTGCATCTTCGAAAACCTTCTCTCTTCCACCGCTATGCCGGTCTTCGACGTGAAAATCACCATTCTTGAAGCGTTGAAACCATTCACGACACGTTCTTTCACTAATAGCGGCCTCACCATAAGTATTTGAGAGCATTCGATGAGCCTCAGTCGCAGATTTCTTCATACTGAAGCAGAAAATTAAAACCTCCCGCAAATGACGAGAATTTGGTTCGTAAACTGACATTTTCAATCGAGAATAACTATATGATGCAGACACAAATCGACTAATGTTTCTATGGGGTTATGTTGACAAATGCCCAAGTTTATTGCATGACGTCTATGATCTATTTATTTCGACCACTACTTACCGCTAAAGCCATCTGTAGGAAAACGGCGGAAGTTGTACACCTAATATATTCGGTTGGCAAATACTAGATGCGCAACTAAGTTTGCGGGTTTCACACATGGATGGCGCTAACGACATATGTAGTCGACATACATGTCTGAAGTTGTGTTTTTTTTTATAGCTTGGACATCTGTTAACAATAACCAGTCGTAATACCAACACATATCGCAACGCAAAAATATTTTTTCTGACAACGAAGATGTCGAGTTTTGTGCCAAATAAATATTAGGTATGGGAATAAGTTTTAATCTAAGGTTTTAATCTAAGGTAAGGGAATAAGCTTTTTATGTAGGCAAAAAACAGTTTGAATATGAAAATATTAAATGATTTTATTCAAAATATTTTCCATCTGAAGCGATAACCTTCGCCCATCTTTCGGGCAATAAACGGATTCCTCGAGTGAAGAATTCTATTTCTTTCGATCCAGTCATCGACCCATTTTTGTATGCTGGCATATGAGGTGAAGCGTTCTCCAGTAAGTGCCGACTACATCGACCGGAACAAATGATAGTCTGAAGGGATAATGTCTGGTGAATACGGTGGGTGGGGTAGGACCTCCCATTTCACTCCTTCTAGGTATGTCCGGACGGGTTGACCAACATGTGACCTAGCGTTGTCATGCTGCAAAATCAACTTCTCGTGTCTATCGCGCCATTCCGGCCGTTTTTCTTGAATAGCTTGTTTCAAATGCATTAGTTGAAGTCGGTAACGTTGGGAATTGATAGTTTCGGACGGTTTCAGCAGCTCATATTAGACTACACCCCGCATATCCCACCAGATACAGAGCATGACCTTTGACTCGTGAATATTGCGCTTTGGCATTGATGGACCTGGTTTACCTGGCTTCACCCATGCTAGTTTGCGTTTAGGATTGTCGTAGTGAATCCATTTTCATCGCCAGTGATGATCCGATGCAAAAAACTCTTTCTTTCTTGTCGTTGAAGCAACATTTTGCACGTGACCAAACGCCTTTCAATGTCCCTTTCCTTCAACTTGTGTGGTACCCAATTTCTTACCTTCTGAACCATTCCCAGCGCATGTAGGCGTTTTCCAACGGTGGATCAATCAACATCCAATGCTGCAGACAATTCTTCAAGTGTCTGACATGGATCAATATTAAGCAATTTCTCAAGTTCCTCATTTTGGAACTTTTTTGAGGCACCATCGCGTTCTTTGTCGTTGACATCGAAATCACCACTTTTGAAGCGTTGGAACCAATATCTGCAAGTTGGCTCCGATGGAGCATGGTCGCCGTAAACATCTACAAGCAAACGGCACGTTTCCGCTGCACTTTTCTTCAAAAGATAGTAGTGGAGAAGAACTTCCCGCAAATGCTGCTTTTTTGGAACAAATTCCGACATTTTCGATGCGATATGAATACTTGCTGTTTGCACTCCAAACAAAAGTCTTATACTGCGTTTAACAGCTTACATATACACCTTTTAAATCCATGTATCGAAAGGTTAGAAAAGATGCAAGCGATATTATTAATGCCATCTATGGGGAAACGATTAAAACTTATTCCCATACCCAATAGCATTTGCGGAAAGCTTTGCTTGCCTGCTTTAACTTGAAAAAAAGTACAGCTGAAGCACGTCGTTTGCTTGAGGAGGCCTACGGCGAACATGCACCATCGACAACTACCTGTGAAGATTGGTTTAAACGCTTCAGAAGTGGCGATTTTGACACTGAGGACAAGGAGCGCTCCGGAAGACCAGAAACAATTGAGGGCGCCGATCTGCAAGCGTTATTGGATGAAGATGATACGCAAACACAAGATCAACTTGCGGAGGCGTTAAACATGGCTCGCCAAGATATTTCCAAACGTTTACATGCCATGGGAAAAATTCGAAAGGAAGGAAAATGGGTGTCGCATGAGTTGACTGAGAGACAGATGGAAAATCGAAGAGCCACTTCCGAAATTTTGCTTTTGCGGCATGAAAGAAAGAATTTCCTGCATCGAATTGTTACTGGTGATGAGAAGTGGATATATTTCGAGAATCCCAAACGCAAAAAATCGTGGCTTTTACCTGGCGAAGCATCAACATCGGCGGCACGGCCAAATCGCTTCGGAAAGAAAACAATGCTCTGCGTTTGGTGGGACCAGAAAGGAATCGTGTACTATGAGCTGCTGAAACCGGGCGAAACTGTCAATAGGCATCGCTACCGACAACTGATCAATGTGAACCATGCATTGCTCGAAAAACGGCCAGAATGAGACGAGACACGAACGAGTGATATTGCAGCACGACAACGCTCCGTGCCATCGCACTTCCATCATCCAGGATACCATCAAAACGCTGAAATGGGATCTGTTACCGCACCCGCCGTATTCGCCAGACCTGGCCCCTTCCTATTATCACTTGTTTCGGTCGATCGCGCATGGCTTGGCTGGGCAACACTTGGCTAATTTCGAAGAAGTGCAAAATTGGTTGGATAAATGGTTTCGGTCCAAAGACGCGTCGTTTTATCGTCGCGGTATTCATGTATTGCCAGAGAGATGACAAAAATGTGTAGCTAGCGAGGGACGATATTTTGAATAAACCATTTTTTGTATTTCTCTTGAAATTTTCCATTTTCCATTGATCAAAAAACCCGGAAACTTAGTTGCGCACCTAGTAAAATCACTCAAGGTCAAATTCGTATTTTTTTCATCTGTTCCCCTTAATATCCTAATAACAATTTTTGTTTGAAACATTTTTCTATATTTAAAGCCATTTCTGAGATCCAGGGGTAGAGTCGGTAAATGTTTACTTTAGCACAGTCAACTCCGATAACTTCGATCTTAATATGTTATAGAGGGCATCTTACTGAGTAACCTTCAAATGGTTTTAACCGTCGCTCATTATTTATTAAAAAGTTATTAAAGAAAGAAATTGAATATAATGAATATAATTTTTGGCCACCATGTAGATTGCTGACACTGTAAACAGGCAATTTGTTTTGTTCACATGTAGAATTCGTTTGTTTTCATTTTCAAATCATGCTTGTATTCTGATATACACTACCAATGTATGTTGGAACAGAAACATAGAAAGATCGTTATTATACATGTAGTTATGCTGTTTCACGAATTAATTCACTTAACGTATAATTATAACAATTTAATTATAACAATATACTACGTATTTTAATTATAAACGTATGAATTACTACGTAATTTAATTATAACAATATAATACGTATAATTATAACAATATAACAATTTAGTAAGTTGGTTAGGTACCAAAAAAGTGCTTAAAAAAAGTATTTTATGTCCACGATGTAATAAAGAAATTCAATTAAAACCAGAAGGATCACTTATAATGCATTGTACTAATATGCATTATAAACAAATACGTGGGCGAAAATGGCAAAGAAAGGCTTGCAATTATAAGTTAAGTGCATTAACAGGAACGTGGTTTATAAAGGCATATTTAGATCTAGTAAAAATATGTCGTATTATTTCCAACTTTTTAATGATAAATTCACCACGACAGAAACTATTTCAAACTGAAATGCAAATATCAACATCTATTACTGCGGATTGGACTAATTTTTGTCGTGAAGTAAGTATTATTAACAAATAATCTAAAATAAATTTTCTAATTATTAAATTATTTACATTTTATAGTTACTAAATCAGTGGTTGACTGATAGTAGCAAACCGTTAGGTGGTCCAGGAATAATTGTTGAGATAGATGAAGCGAAATTCGGACGTCGAAAATATTATAAAGGCAGATTAATTACTGGACATTGGTTGTTTGGTAGTGTTGAAAGAGACAGTGACCGTTTACTTGTAGTATCAATCCCAGATAGAACAGCAGCTATATTAGTACCTATAATTCGTCGTTATATTGCCTCTGGAAGTATAATACATAGCGATTGTTGGTGTGCTTATGATGCTTTGTCTAATGAGAATTATTTACATAGAACTGTAAATCATTCTCGTAATTTCGTCGATCCTATTACTGGAGTTGATACTCAGAATATTGAACGATTATGATGTGATATTCGCAATGGAATACTTCGTTTTGGTACGCGTAAAAATCATTACTCATTTTATTTAGCTGAATTTTTGTTCAAACGAAAATATAATTATGCAGATCGAATTGATAAATTTTTTGAAATTATGGCTCATTTTGATTCAGTTAATGATAACAGTACTTAATAAATTTATGATTCTATCCACTTAATGACAAGATTTCTGAGTAAATTTATTATAAACGTCAAACAAACTCCTTGTAATCCTTGCAGCACACGTATATGCGTGGAGAGGGGCTTTTTTTTATCACGCAGGGGAAATCCATCATGGATACTCCCGACCCTTAGGGGGTAGGGAATTATGCCGGACTCCTACCGGCTAAAACCTCTACCGATCGGACCGTGGTGGGGGGAGTCAGGGGATCTACGCCAATATTCCCTCCCCGACACTCCGGCCCCGGAGCTCTTATGGAGCCCCACGCCCAGGTACCGCGCCCCACCCAGATTGGGAGTCAAGGGCGTGGTGCCCCGGCCGGTTGTCCGGCCGGATTGGCCTTCCAGTGTTAATTAGGAGAGAGAGGACACTCGCCCTCTCTCCTCGCCCCCGCCTTCCCCCTTCCCTACTGGGTGGGTAGGGGGGGCAAGGGTGCGAGGTCCGGCCCCAACCGGTCCTCGCTCCCCTTCTCCCTGCCATCACCGAAGCCCGGCTCCCACCCACCTCCATCGGCACATCGAAGCGGGCCCGAGGTGGCGCTCGGGGGGCCGGCACCACCTCGGGCCCGCTTCCCACCCCTGAAGAGCGCCGCCCCCTCCGTCGCTCCCTGCGACGGACTCCTGGGCGGCACTCCCGCTCGGCGGCCTCCTTGCGGGACCGGCAAAAGGAGGCCGCCGCTCCCCAAACCTCCTCGCTCCCGCACATTGCTTTGAGCAAGTGGCACTCTACTGCCCGAGCGAGGACATGGCGTTGCGGAGCCCGAGCCTGGCACATGGCCAGGGTGTGCTCCGCCGTGTCCTGCGGCTCCGGGCAGTGGTGACAGCCCATGGTGGGCTCCCTTCCAATCCGGTGCAGGTACCGACCGAAGCACCCGTGCCCGGTCAGCACCTACACCATATGGAAGATGAGCCCGCGTCCCCATCTGTCTGCCATTTCTGGCAGACAGGGGCAGACAGCCTCGGCCGTTCGGATCCCGAATCTTTTGGGGTCAGCCAATATGGCTGACCACCGTTCCAGGACTCGGGATCTGGCCTGGGATTCCAAGGCTCTCAGGTCCCTGGCCGATGGACCTTTCCCCTCCTCGCGGAGCTCCTTATACTCTCCAATAGAGGGTGTGCCTTGATTCGGCAAGGAACTCCACGGGAGGGGGAGCCGGCCAGGGCCGTCGCCGCCCAATACGAAATGGTGCGGTACCCTGAATCGCCCTCAAGACCACCGACCGCATCGCCTGTTACAGGCGACTCTTGTTGCGGCCGGTGGCCATAAGTCGGGGCGCTCCGTAGAGGGCGATCAAGAGCACCACACCGATATAGAGGCGGCGAGCATGCCATCCAGGACCCCCTGGGTCCTCATCAGGTTGGCCAATGCCAGGCCTGCTTTACAGACCTGGGAGGCCCGACTCCTGAAATGGGCCTAAAAATTCCAGCGGCCGTCCAACGTCAGGCCCAGATACTTGATCGTGGGCCCGACGCGGGCGCGGACTCCATCCACCACCAGGACCCGGGACTCCGGTGGTGCCTCTCGACGGGGACTATGGAAATACATGGCCTCCGTCTTCTGGGGCGCCACTTTCAATCCCAGGCCCTTGATGGTGCCCACCACGGATTCCAGCGCCACCTCCGCTTGGAGGCGAGCTTCCCCCTAGCCTCTCCCCCCGGTTAACACTAACGTATCATCTGCATAGCAGATAATGTGGCAGCCAGGGGAAGGGGAGAGCGAAGCACCTGGTCGAACGTGATGTTCCACAGCAGGGGGCCGAGGCCCGACCCTTGCGGAACACCGCGCTCCATAACGCGCCGACCTTGGACCTCGCCTCTCTCCGAGTAGGTGAGGTCCCTGCCCCCGAAGTAGGCCGATAGTGTGCGCCGGAGATAGACGAGCACCCCATGATACTCGAGCGCCCGTCCAATCTCCGGCCAGGTCAGGTCAGGATGTTGAATGCGTTGGTGATGTCCAACAACACCGCCATCAACACTCCGCCCTCCTCCACGACCCTAGAGGTTAGGACGTGCTGGATGGCATCCAGCGTGGATCGTCCGGGCCTGAACCCGTATTGATGGTCGTGGAGGTTCGGCCCGTCCGAGGACAGATGCTGGATGAGGCGGTCGGCAATGATGCGCTTGAGCATCTTGCTCGCCTCATCCAGCAGGCATATCGGCCTGAAGGTCGACGCGCCGCCGGGCGCTTTGCTCTCTTTCGGGAGGAGGACCAACCTAGCTCTCCTCCACTCTGGGGGGAATGCTCCCACCCTAAGGCACATGTTCATGAGAACCCGCATGTCCTCGGACAAGCTTCCCTCGCCGAGGGCGAGAGCCCAGGCGCGGTTAGGAATGCCATCGGGGCCAGGGGCTTTCCTCTTGGCCCCGAGTCTTTTCCTGATCCCGGCGAGCTCCTCCGGATCGACCTCCAGGCTCTCGTCCAGTCCCCGTCCCGTAACTCTGGAACGGGGATCTGGGGGGGTCCCCCTCCCACCCTCGGAAAGAGGGTGTCCAGGTGTCCCTCGAGAGCCTAGTGCTCTAGAGTCTCCGTAGGCGGGGGCGCCCACGGACGGAGTTTACCTACTATCCGCTTGTAGGGACGCCCAGCTCGTCCCCGAACCATCTAAGGTAGTTCTTGGGGACATAATTCGACTGCGCCGCTATTCCCAACCCTGCACCGCGCTCCGTCATTGTGTGCTCAAAAAGAGGCATTGCTTGGCGGGCGCTGTGCAGGTTGGCTTGGAGGAGTCGGGTGGCCATTATTACACGTCTACGACGATTAACTTCTCACCCGGCTTCTCCGCTCCATCGCTTCCTTCCTCGTCTCTCGGACGTGCCCTCTTCTCTTCCCTCCTCTCCACATCCATCTCCTGCTCTTCCCGTGCGTTGGAAGGGAGGGGGTCGATGGGTGGAGGGATAGAGGGGAGAGAGATTTTCTCCACTTCTTTCTCCTTTGTTTCATTTGGAGCAGGAGATATCGTGTCTGTAGACTTTTGTCTCTCGGGTACCTTCTGCCCCCTCCTCTTTTGTTTGGGGGGATGGCATGCCGGTCCCCCCATATGGTGGTCTGATTGTTTGTTACCTGCCGTACATAATTGACACTTGGCTTTTGCTTCGCAGTTTCTGGCCAGGTGTCCTTTTTCCCCGCATCGGTAACAGTTATCCCTTCTGTCCGTATCGCTGCTGCAGTTTGTCTGCACATGTCCCTTCTCCAGACACCTATAACATTGTAGGGGTTTGTTTCTAAAAGTTCCACTTTTGCTTGGGTCCAGCCCACAGCCAGTGTCCCCTTATTTGCTATCTTCTTCGCTGCAGCCAGGGGACACTGGACGCATGAAGATCTGGATCCAGCTGGTGTGACCTTTATCCTTCCCGTTTTGATATCTTTTATATCACATTCTCTTTCCTTTGCCACTCGTTCCCTTACTTCTTCTGTGGTAGCTATTTCCAGCTCTCTCAGTCTTAGCTCCCCCATTTTTGGGGGCAGCTAATCTTTGCTCTGTCCCTTAATATCTCTTGCAATTTTCCTGTAAGGATGTCCGCCTGTTCACGGCGCTTTTGCCCAGGGATCTCCAGTATTAGTGCCCCGGTCACGCCCATTCTGGTCCTCAACTTGGAGATCCCTAGGTCCTAGGTAGGATATTAATCTTGGCCTTGGCTTCGATTAATAATTCTCTATACTTCTCCTTGTCCGCCGTAGCTCCCACTTGACCTAGCCTCTTTAGTTTTTTTTGTTAACGCAGGGGAAATCCATCATGGATATCCCCGACCCTTTGGGGGGGGGGGTCGTGGGTTATGTCAGACTCTTACTGACTAAAACCCCTGCGGGATATCTACCAACCGGACCAGTGTGAGGGGAGTCAGGGGAACTACTCCCGTATTCCCTCCCCGACACCCCGGCTCCAGAGCTCTCAGGGATCCGCCGCCGCCTCTCTCTGCGGCCGCGGATCCCTGGACGACGCTCCCACTCGGCGGCCTCCTTCTGCGATATTACGTCGCGACAGAAGGAGGCCGTCGCCCCCCATGCCTCCTCGCTCCCGCACATGGCCCGAACCATGCGCGGGAGCGAGAGGTCCTCCACTCAGCACTTCACCGCCCGGGCCAGGACACGACGCTCCTGGCTCCATACTGAGCATGTAGCCAGGGTATGGAACGCCGTGTGCACGGGCTCCGGGCAGTGATGGCAGCCGGTGGTGTGTTCCTTTCCGATCTGACGCAGGTACTTTCCGAAACATCCATGTCCCTGCACCTGCGTCAGATGGAAGATGGATCCCCGCCACCTCGGGCAGACAGGGGCGGACGACCTCGGCCGTTCGGAGCCCGGGTCCTCGGGATTCCGCCAACATGGCCGACCACCGATCTAGTACCTGGACTCTGGCCTCCGACTTCAAGGCCGCCAGGTCTCTGGCCGTTACCACCTCCCCTTCCTCGTGGAGCTCTCTGACTCTCCAGTAGAGAGTATATCTCTCCTGAGCCAGGAGCCCCACGGGAGGAGTGCCGGCCAGAGTGGTGCCATGTATGATATTGTGCCGTACCTCCGGATCGCCCTCATTACAATGGCTTGCATGACCTGCCGCAGCAGCCTGATGCTGCTACAACTGGCTTGGAGCTAGGGCGCCCATATGGGCGCCCCGTAAAGGGCGACCAAGAGCACGACACTCACATACAGGCAGCGAGCCTTCCATCCAGGGCCCCTCTGGGTCCTTATTAGGTTGACCAAGGCCAAACCAAAATCCTACGGACCCGGGGGGCTAGGAGCCTGAAGTGCCGCCCGAAGTCCCATCGGCCGTTCAACGTCAGACCGAGATATTTCATCGTTGGCCCGATGTGAACGGGGACTCCATCCACCAGGACTTGCGACTCCGGCGGCGCCTCTCGACTGCCGTCGTGAAAATACACGGCTTCAGTTTCTGGGGCGCCACTTTTAGTTCTAAGCCCTTGATGGTGCTCACCACGGACTGCAGTGCCGCCTCCGCTAAGAGGCAGGCCTCCCCGCAGTCCTCCCCCC